TTGTTCCCTTTAATGCATGAGCTAAAACTGGATTTCCACAGATGGGGCATAAATGGCAGCTTCAATGTCAAATATTAATGGAGAGTTCGAGATAGGGCACAAATTCATTTCACAATGTACACTGCATGACAATCACCAAACTGCGGATCCATGTTCAAGGAGAGGGAAGGACAAAAGGCCTTCTATTCATTTTAAATATATACTGTATGATATTATAGTTTATCCATGCCTAATGGTGATAAGGCATGTGACAGAGAACTTAAGGTCAGCAGAGTAAACATGACTATCTAACAGCTTATCTAAATGGAAAACAGTGCAACCCAAAGTTTGCTGTTCATTAACTATTTTGGTGAAATTAATTTACATCATCTGACACATTTATAACAAATAGTTATGATTTGGAAACATTTATTAACTATTTAAAATTAGAGTAGTATAATATAATGGCTATAATGAAATCCTGTAAATATGAAGAAACCTGTCAACTTGGAAAAACTTAATTTCAAATGCCTTTGAAATAAAAGGTTCTGGCAACATTTATTAACCTTGAAAATATCTAATTTAAACATATTTCATCATGATAAAAAGGCACTTGGAGATTATCATTGTCCAAATGCCAGTCTTGACTTTCCACTTTTGCTGAGTGGTCAGACCATATCAAATTATACAGATAATAAAGATATGAGGAGGAACCAAGGAGTATAAAAGAGTTTGCTGGTCCTCAGCTTGTTGTACAGAGCAGGCATCATGGGCAAACTACTCATCTGTGTCGGTAAGCTCCTTGCTCATAAAAAAACTTTTCAAATTTGTTTGCTACTCATTTTATCTTCATTTCATCTTGTGCATAATGAAGACTGATTCTCCTCATCCTCTCTGACTCTTGTGTTTCCCCTGCAGGACTGGCTCTCCTGCTGCATGTGCAGCTAGGTAATCATAGCTTCTATACACCCAGTGCTGCTGTAATATGTGTAGACTCCCTTAAATTGGTGACACAATGTAAGAGTTAATTCTCCATGTGTTGCAGGATCATCCTACATCCTCTCCTGTTATTTCACTAACTGGGGACAGTACCGTCCTGGAGCAGGCAAGTATTTCCCCACCAACGTTGATCCATGTCTCTGTGACCACCTCATCTATGCCTTTGCTGGAATGGACAACAATATGATCAAGACCTACGAGTGGGACGATGAGAAACTCTATGGAGAATTCCAGGCCCTGAAGAACCAGTTAGTATTTAAATATACTCATAAAAATCATGTGACCCCAGGACACATACTGTAGAAACACACTTTGATGCTGTACACGTTAACATGCATGCACACACAGAATAAGTGGGACAGGGTAAAGTGTTGTTGCTGTTGTTGCTGCTTGCAGAAACGGTAACCTGAAGACTCTGCTGGCTATCGGAGGTTGGAACTTTGGTACTCAGAAGTGAGTAGCAATTTAATGAGGATCAATGCTCTCACAAAGATGAATTTGTAACACAGACAGGAGCAAGCTGACTGTCTTCCTGTCTCCAGGTTCTCAGCTATGGTTGCGTCTCCCGCCAATCGTCAGACCTTCATCAACAGCGTGATCACATTCCTGCGTCAGTACGAGTTCGATGGTCTGGATATTGACTGGGAGTACCCTGGCTCTCGTGGCTCCCCACCTCAGGATAAGGGGCTCTACACTGTCCTGGTCCAGGTTGGTTCTTATTCAGTCTCTGGCTACAGACAAATTCATTTTGTAAACCTTGTAAATTTAGATCATACATGTGACACTGTAATGTAATCTTTCTTCTTGTTTGTTCTCTAGGAACTGATGAGTGCCTTTGAGGCAGAGGGCACGAAGACCAACCGTCCTCGTCTGTTGCTGACTGCTGCTGTCTCTGCCGGAAAGGGAACCATTGACTCTGGATACCAGATTGCCCAGATTGGAGCGTAAGCACTCGAGCAGACAAACATTAAATACCCTCACATCAGTTGGACAGCACACAGCTCTTATTAAACATATATACTTGTGTCTATTTGCCAGTGTGCTGGACTACTTCCACGTCATGACCTATGACTTCCATGGGTCTTGGGAGAGGAATGTCGGAGAGAACAGCCCCCTGTACAAGGGCCCTGCTGACCAGGGATCCATGATCTACTTCAATGTGGTCAGTGAATGGATCAGTATGTTTCCTTCATACGTTACATTAAGGAAGTGACTGATACTCACGCTAGTCTGTGTTCTCTCATGTTCAGGACTATGCTATGAACTACTGGAAGAGCAACGGTGCCCCAGCTGAGAAACTGCTGGTTGGTTTCCCCACCTACGGCCACACTTTCCGCCTCGCTTCCTCTGACACAGCTGTGGGAGCTCCTGCCAGTGGACCCGGACCTGCTGGAACTTATACCCGTCAGTCTGGCTTCTGGGCTTACTATGAGGTAGGTGCTTCTTTTTTCTGACTCTCTGTGTATGAATTGACATGTGCATGTGTATGTAGAACAGAAAAACACATGTATTTGTATTGTGTAGATCCTTAACTTTGATTATGTCTCTGCCATCAGATCTGCACCTTCCTGAAGCAGGGAGCCACCCAGGCCTGGGACGCCCCACAGCAGGTGCCATATGCCTACAACCAGGGAATCTGGGTTGGATATGACAATGTTAAGAGCTTCCAGATTAAGGTATGAGGTTGAATATCATAATTGAAAGTTTCAAACCTTTATGCTTTAGGCTGTATTCAACACTTGGTTTCACCTCTCAACTGCTCTACAGATTCAGTGGCTGAAGCAGAGCGGTTTTGGTGGGGCCATGGTGTGGAGTCTGGACCTGGATGACTTCAGTGGCACTTTCTGTGGCCAGGGAAGATACCCCCTGATCAACACCATCAAGAGTGGACTGGGAACTGGAACTAGTACGTATGAAACACATATCCTCAGGAAATAAAGATAATGCAGTTGTTCCCATCTTTGAACTTTTCATTTCTCTGCTCAGGCTGCACTGCTCCTGCTAACCCCCTGCCTCCAGTCACACCAACTAAGCAAGCTCCACCCCAGCCTGCCGGTGGTGGCAGCAGTGGTGGCAGCAGTGGTGGCAGCAGCAGCGGATCTGGCTTCTGTGCTGGAAAGGCTAACGGACTCTACCCAGACCCATCCAACAAGAACCACTTCTATGAGTGCAACCAGGGAAATACTTATGACCAGCACTGTGCTACCGGCCTGGTTTTTGACAACAGCTGCAAATGCTGCAACTGGGCCTAAACATCGCATGGCAGGACTTCATACTGGTTGTTCTTAAGTTAGGAGCTGGGTCAACTATCCTGTAAAAAAAGAACATCCAACTAAGGCCCATTCAAGAACAGCTCTCTAACATCTGTCATGAATCTTATCTAAATAAATATGGCATTTTAAAGCAACTTCAGATGTCCTGTGTTCTTCCTGTATGTGACTAGGCAGTCATAAAAGCAAATATTAGCCAAGCAAAGTTGCATTTTTTAAAAATTGATTATTAATTTTAGATATAAAACTATCAACAAAAATATTTATTCATTTTGGTCTCCTTATAAAACCATGACAAAAGTCAGCATAAATCCATTCCATCTTTCAGTATTTGACATCAAAATTTGAATGGATGCTGTATTCTAAACACATGCTCTCCACCATAACCTGAAGCAGAAGCTCTTTTTTCCAATCATCATCTCAATGTCTTTAACAAAATGTTTTTAATAAAAAGCTTTCATGCTGTAATGCATGAGAAAAAAAAAGAAACAGATGCACACAGCCCAAGGCAACACAGACAGTCAGTGTAAAATTGATTAAGAGGAAAATAAATATGTTTTTTTAATTATATTCATTTTCCCCAGAGAAGAGAGAATTCACCCATAATGACAAAGTAATGAGGGATAAATTTGGTAATGATTTGTGCTTTACTTTATATCAACAAATTCCATTAAATTCCTCTGCCAATGAATTAATTTTACTGACAAGTGTTGCATGTGTAGCCAAAGCTGGCTAAAAAAAACTATAGTGCCCATCTGAGATCAGAAAGGATTAGGAAAAATACTACAATATTAGTTTTGTTTTTTTCATGGGATTTGATAAAAATTAAAAACTGTAACAACCATCTCTTTTAACACATAGTGCCTAAAAGTAACTGGACATCTGGCTGACTGTCTCCTGGGCATCTGTGTGCTGTTGCAACGTTAGTTCATGCACTGACTGCCAATGAAACAACTTGTAAAGCCCGTCACAGTGCAACAATGTGCTCGTTTTAACTATTTCATATACATTTAATTTTATTAGTGTAGTGCTTCTCAATCTAGGGGCCAGGGCCCTGCTAAAGATTACAAAATAAAACTGTGAGGTCATTAGTTGATTAATAGGAGAGGAAAGAAGATAAAACAATGGTCTGCTGTACACATTTATAATTATTTTTCATTTTAATTATTGGTAAATGTCTTTAGAAGTATTTTTTTCAGGCTTCCTGTGCAGATGACTGGGACTTGGTGGGAGAACTGATCAATAGCATTTTCTAGGTTGAAAGGAGGAATTTGTAATAAGTACTGCACATCAGTGTTATCACAAGTAAACGCTTATACTGTTTATTTTGCATTGCTTGCACTGTTTATTGCTTATTAATACTGTTTATTTTGTTATTTATTCACAGCCTTATGTTGGTTTACTGTTTACTTGCCCCTTGCTGTTTCCTTGCTTGGGGATATGTACATGCACATTGAGAGCTGCTGTACCAGAGTCAAATTCCTTGTGTCTCTCTCTTGTTTGTTGTGCTTACAACTTTTTCAGGAACCAAGACAACTCCTTCTACACCAGTGAGTAATGCTGATGCTTTCATATGGTAGGTTTTATGTGCGACTGCTACTTCCTTTGGAAGCAAAGTTAGTTGCCACTACTTTGTAAGGAATAATGACTCAACAACAGCATGATCTTTCATGCCAGACACAGAGTATAAGATGCAGAAATTTCTTTATTTTTTTATATATCCACATTATTTGTAGAATATCATAGGTCAGGATCAAGAAACAAACAATTAACAAGAAATTATACACGTACATAAAAAGACAAGCATAACATAGAAATTCCAAGGATCAAAATAAGAAACATTACCTGATTCTAAAGGCCCATATACTGTATGTGTGTCTGTATATAACCAAATCATTCTTTTTAACATAAAATCATTGATGGCTGTAATTGGCTTTGATCCACCACTGTAGTAGTTCATCAGTTTGTGTGTACTAAACTAAACTAAAACTCTCTTTTACTTTTACTTTCACACAGAACCTCGTTGTATGCTACCTGTCCCAGTGGGTAACACGGTACCTGGCTGAGTCAAAGACAACAAAGATATTTTCCACTGAAGGTAGTGGACCAAACCTCAGCTAAATGAAAAGTGGATGTTGGCATCTGAAAAGTAAAATATCTGACAAATACCCATGTTGCCTGGTGTCTGCTGGCATGTTATGTGAGTGTTTGAACATGATAATTGTAATCTGCTGCTGGTTTGCATTAGAGTTTCTCTCTGCCTCCTGGAGGTCAAACATCAGTTCAAGTGGCTTTGACTTTCAGTGTAATGATGGTGTTTCAGTACAGTGCTTCAACAAAGGGAAAGATAAACATACAAAACCACACTTCAGAGCCATGAGCTGCAGACTACGTTTACATTTATTTCTGGTCTGTTATGGCTCTTCTTGCAACGGCAGCGTTCCTCTGAGTAGCGTTCTCCTCGATGGACATCTAGGTAGGGGTGCCATTCTTCAGATGGAGAGCACAAGGACTTCAGTTGCTGTAGAAAGTATGAGGAAAGGATGAAACCTATAAGTACTTTTTTTTTCTAGAGAGCACTTTCTGGCATGTAGACAAAAACATGTATGGTGTTTTAACCTATTATATTTTTCCAAGTGTCATTACGCATACAGTACACACCTTCCAGGGGCTTCCCTCTACTCTGGTAAGCTTATACACAGCAATGACAGGGATCCAAAGGAGGACAAACACCACCATGCACCAGCCTAGCGCAAGGCCCCAGACTGGGAACTGGGATGCTCCATAAGAAGGTGGTGTAAATGTCATCAAAGACCAGACCAGAATCACCTGTACATTCATTCAACACAGTCAGAACTAACACGATGCAGTGTGTGAGAAGCTTGAGTCTGAGTGTTCACTGTTCACTTTTTAAAACTGTGCTCAAAAGTTGTTACATAGAAATCTAAATTGAATTCATTTAACTTACAATGTGGCTTTTGGTGCTATGTCATTACAAAAATGTAGACACCATTAAAAGTCATGGAAAAGAGCGAGTCTTTTGTATCGGGGGCAGGTTGTACTCACCACTATGATGCAGGGGCTGATAAAGAACCAACACAATCTCCACCACAGCCAGAAAGCAAAACTCTTCTTTCCAAGCATCATCTCAATGTCTTTAACAAAACGATTCCCTCCTGTAAAGCATGCGGAGTGCACATGTACACAACTGCAGATTAAAGCTGTCCCTATTACCTCTGTGTACACAAAGCTGCACCAGTGATCATATTTACCATATATGTAGCAGACACCAATGATCTCCAAAAGAACCAACATTAGCAGCACCCAGCTGGCAACAAACTGGTCGATTAGCGTCACCCAGTATATCCCTGCCTATCTCAAACATACATACACACACAGGCTGAACAGATCAACTATCAGAGAGCAGTAACACAAAGTTACACTTAGGCAGAGTTACCTGTGTGACACATGGTAGGCCCAAAAGGTAGAGGATGGCACACGTGGCTGTACTGAGTAAGGCACGTTTAGATTTAAGTGTTTTAGGGAAGGCATCAATTATGCAGGTGGTGAGCACCTCTAATGAGACAAAGAGAGACGAAAACACATTAGGCTATAAAAGCAAATAAAACAGTGAATGACAATGTAAGAGCTCACCTATCCCAGCAAACTGAGAGTCCAGACCAACAGTCAGAAGCATGAAAAAGAACAAACTGGACCACAGAGGGGAAACGGGAAGCTTAGACAGAGCATCTGGATATGCAATGAACGCCAGGCCAAATCCTACACAAACACAAAGACACAAAACATCAGGCAGTCGTCCACATTTGTACTAATTGGTGCCTACAAGGTGTGTCTGTCTGACCTTCCTTCACCACTTTTCCGACGGGCATTTTGTAGACGTGAGCCATGTGACCCAAGATGGAAAATATGGCAAAGCCTGCAAGCACGCTGGTACCTAAAAAGAGATCAAAATAATCAACTCAAATGATCACCTCTGGTCATTAAATGTTAAAAAGAATGAATTCCTTACATTCTTTCGTGGTTAAAATCTACCATACTGCCTTCTTTCAAATTAGCTACTTAAAAGAGACAACAGTCTGCTCTGTACACAGTTGGTGTTGGTGCATGTAGGGCTGTGCTCCTACCAGCATTAGTAAGTGTTACAACAAATGAATCCTTGAGCAGATTGTTGTGGAATTTATTATATGAGGCAAGAGTCATGACTCCACCCCAGCCAATGGAGAGCGAGTAGAAGGTCTGAGTCGCAGCATCTTTCCAGACCTAAGAACACAGTCATATTTTGAATCCAAAGACAGACTTACTGACTAACTGTCATGTGCTGTACTTGAACAGGTATGTTTAGTTTCCTACCTGTGCTTCAGTCAGTTTGGTCAGATTGGACTGGGAACCAATGTAGAACTCTATCCCATCTCTTGCCCCCTCTAGTGTCACGCCTCTGATCAGCAGGATCAGAATCACCACATAGGGAAATGTAGCTGTGAAATACACAACCTACACAAATACACAAAGAAAAGAAATAAATAATTAATTTGCATTTTCTGCTAGGAATTTCAAGCATAAATTGCAAAACCTATAAGGCCCTACAAATGGAGATGTGTGTTCATTTTCCTCTTTGCATTCTATTGTCACCAGAAATTACTGGGAATCACCATGTAAAATTAAAGCAAAATTAAGAAAGTCCAGTCAGTGAAAGTCTGTATGATTTATCTAATTGGCAGGTAAGTAATGTGAATTTTCTCGGTAATTGCCATGTGTTCAACGGCTATATTGAAATTACAGAATTCAAGGAAATGTTGCTACACTTGACATTTTATTGTAGGTAGTTACCTTGTTATTACCTGCCATCTTCTATTCTGTCATACATAAATTACATGTCTGCTTCAAAGTATTCTGGTTTCATTTTATGCCGTATTATTATTGGGAACAGTAATTTATGGTCACGTGTAAATAACAGCTACTCATTAAGTCCATTTGTTCTGGCTATTTTCTAGCAATTTCTTCACATTACGTAAAGAACAGCCTGTATATTAAAGGGTTACTGTTGTTTTTAACCTCAAAACAGTTTTACTTATAATTTGATGGCAGATTTGTACATTATTTTTGCTTAAAAGAACAGTTCTACATTTTAGGAAACATGCTCATGTGCTTTCTTGCCAAGGTTTAGATTAGAAGACTGATGCCACTCTCATGCTAACAGTAAAGCTACAGCCCACTGCTACTTAGTTTAGATTAGCATAAAGAATGGAAAGTGGGGTAAACAGTTAGCCTGACCCCGTACAAAGGTTACAGCATTTGCCCAACTTTAAAGTGTTAGGGTGATTTTCATTTTTAGATAGAAAAGAATATAATTAGTTAGGGTTTTTATTATATAGCATACATAAGTTTATATATTTTAATCTCACAGTTGTGTTTATGTTTATGTAGTTACATGTCTATATAGAGATTAGATCAAGAGGCTAGCGGAGGAGAAAGCTTCAAAGGTAGGAACATCATGCACACACACACGGGCAGAATAGTTTTAATTGCTGAACTGGAAAGTAATGTCTAATATGGAGCAGTTAGTTGGAAACAAAGGAAGAAGTGACTGTGTATGTAGGAATTAAGGCTGTATAGGTATTCCTCCCCTTTCTAGGGCGCTGTCCACAACCATTGGAGCAGAGAGGACGATTGGAGGACAGACGGACTGAAGGACCAATAACGGGAGAGTTAAGTCTAAACCACGGCTTCTCCCCAACAGTTTTTGACCAATTAGATAGTAGCATCTTTTCATACAAATATTGTATACCGCCAAGTTGGAGTTAGTCTTTTCTGTTTATCCTAAACAGTGAGGATCCATGTGCACATGCTTATTTTGATACGTTAATGCATAATAAATTTCACACTGTGAAATATCTTTATATTTAGTCTTTTCTTTTCAATTTACGAGAACACGTTCGACAAAAGTTCACTAATTAACACATTACACCTCAGGCTTAACTGTACTAAAACCAAAGTGTGGAAACAAACAATTTGCTGCTAATGTGCTGACTTTTTCTTGGCCAGAACTTAATTGAACCTCCACTGATATCTGGTTCCAGCCAAGAAATAGTTAGGGACGCTACACCCAATTAATGGTTTTGGTGTGGATTAAACCAACAAGATGTAATGTGTTAAATAGTAAGCTTTAGGTTGTTACTTTTATGCAGACCCATACTAGACATAAATGATACTGTATGTGGCTGTTGATTCTTACAATAGGTCTGAACCATGAAACTGGACAACCTGAGAATAAAGGCCTGATATGAAATGGATGATGACTTTACTTTTCCTGATGACTTGATCCCTCTGATGAGTGATGCAGCAACAAGTATGGAGCTCAGCAGCAGACAGAGGGCCAAGTGCCACACTACCTGTCCTGTTTCTTCTAGATTGCTGGATCTCTGCAGAGCCACACGACTGAGGAGGAGAGACATCTGATTGTACAGCCATGGCACTAAGACAAGTGTGTGTATTTGTGCTTGTTTGCATTAGCGTGTGATTCTTACTCCCAGTACTGCTCGCTCGGACTTGTGATTTTGTCTGACGAAGGACAAGTGCTGTTTTCTTGAGTCCCGTTGGCCAGTAAAACACCACTTACATTACAGGGCACTGGAAAAGGAGAGAGGACCAGTGAACGGACTGCTTAAATATCACTTTAAGTAGTGAGTAACATATGTACTAGCATGAAATTCCTGAATACAGCAGCTACAAGTTTGATCTGAACTTGCTTTAAAATAATCCAGAGTAACAGAAGAGTGACAGTGAGGCTGATAAAAAATGGCACTGAACAGCAATTCCTGTTTGTCACATCTTTCATTTAAATCTGATTGCCATTCCATGTCACCCCAGTCCAGGAGAATGACAAATCAGCATCCAGCACAAAGCAAATCTGATGGAAAGCAGCACCTATCGTCGTGTTGCTGCAGTTACTGTCAGCCCAGTTGAAGCAGCCAGACCACGGCAGAGGAGACTGGAAGGAGGCGAACATGTAGTACAGGCTGTAGGCGATGATGACATTATAGTAAACTGATACTATTAGAGTTACCATGACCATGGCAACACCAACACCTGGAGAGGGAGAAAGAGAGTTGTTAAGGAACTTTTTTGAGATAGTTTTCTAAGTTCATGTGTGGGAGCTGTCCTGAAAACTACAGTTGTCTTTGTAGACAAGAAGGTTTGTTGAACACTACTTTAACCCCCAGAGTGTGGTATATTAACTCCATAACATGAAAGTTGCTAACAAACTGTCACAAAGTGTTATCATGGACAACTGATATGTTATTTTCCATAACTGCTTGTCAGCATTTGTCTCCCAAACCAGTTGAGCAATTGTTTACTGAACTCCAGCATGTGAAAAATGGTACAATTTAAACTGACTGTCCACAAAACTAGATACTGATCTGTGCTGCAATAATGTAAGTTTCCTCTATTTATAACTATTTACTATCTTTACTTTATCTCACGCTCATGTATAGTTAAGAGATAGCTAATACATCCCATGCCAGAACTTGGAATTAATGCACATAAAAGCTTAATCTTACTTAAATCAACTTTAATTTTATTCCCACACAGTAGGTCTATAGCCACAGTAAGCACAGTAGTCATTGCAGTTCTGTCTGTTTCATAACAAAGCCTTAGAGCCAGACCACCAAGATAACGTAACCTGGGTAAAACTACTATGTATTATAGTTAAACATCATTAGAAAGTTCATTTGCTTTTGAACAATGGTTACCATAAATAAGTTGAATTCATAAAACAAGTATGGTTAAAAACTTTATGGTGATTTATTTCATGTTATTTTAAAGGTTCAAGGAAGTGTTGTGTGTAAAATATTATTATTAATCATCCATTGGTAAAGGTAGTGATACCCAGGGAAAGGGAAGAAGGAGAAAAAGGGAAGCGGGCAGAAAGAAGGAGAGATGGAAAAAAGTTTATGCAGACGTGAAATATGTTAAGTATGCGGACTGTATCTTAGATTGTCAACTCGAGGATCTCCTGTAAGATATTAGTCCTACATAGTTTGTAGTACATGACTGGATATTCTTCTGCACGGAGTTGTCTTGCAGTTGTGTAACATTATTGTGTTTAGCCCAGTTGTGTATAGTCCCGCTACTGCTTGCACCTGGACCTGTGGGCCTGTGAATATTTCATCATTGGGTGGCTATTTGGACCCTTTTGCTATTTCTTTGGACACACGGAGGAGGTAATGCTTCAGCCTCTGGACTACAAACTACTAAGTAAGGTATCGTCTTTTATTTGGCTCTTATGAGTGAAACGGCTGCTTAATTTTTGGCCTCTCCACACCCGAACATCCATCAGGCCTGTAACAAGGGTTAAATCTCAGTGTATATACGGCTGGTGGAGAGTGAGTGAGTGGTGTGTGTGTGTGTGTGTGTGTGTGTGCCCACTACATTTGTGCATTTATTTGAAATATTGACACGTGTGTCTTACAGGAAAAAGGGTCAGACATATTTAAATGGGATTGTTATTGTTTATGCTTTACCCTGATTTATTGTTGAGTAAATTAAGAAACTTTAATTCTAACTTTTGTTTGGTTATTGTATATAGTACTCGTAGGACCTAAACGCATATAATGTAGAGAGGTTTATTACTGACTTAAGATTTGTCAGTTACAGTTACTGTGAGTTAATTGAACCTTATACAGTGGGTATAGGTGGGTTACACTAAGATGGATTTTTTTGCTTTGGAATCAGCCAATAAGCAAGAATGTCATTAAATTCATCATGTTTGACTCTCATCTTCAGATGTACCTGACTGGTGTTTTACAGAACTTTAATACTGTAGTAATCTTACCCTGTAGTAGTGGCACAGCCCTCCAAATGTTAATTGGACCTTGGCTGCAGAACTGACCCAAGGCACTTTCCAGGAAGTAAAGAGGGATTCCAGTCACCACCAGCATCCCAAAATATGGGATGAGAAAGGCACCTGTTCAACATGAAAGATTGGGTGGAAGAGGAGTAAAAGTAACTTTAAAATACCAGCAGTGTTATCAAATAAGATTCTTCCCAATAATTAGAAACCAAAGACTTAGGTACCCCCTCCATTCTTGTAGGCCAGATATGGGAACCTCCAGATATTTCCCAATCCAACGGCGTAGCCAATTGTTGACAGGATGTACTCCCTTTTGTTGGCCCAGTTCCCACGTTCTGCATTTTCATCCCCATCATCCACATGTGGATCCTGCTCATTCAATATTGCAATCGAGTGACATTATTTTTAAACCATTGCACCTAAAATGGCACTTATTTATAGCTATTATACATTTAATAACCTTTTCTAAATGTATTACAAGAAAAACCAGAAAGGGCATTTTTCTAAATCAAACACCAAATTAAGTTTTGTATTGTGTTCCTCAGAGCATTACATTAAAATACATTTACAGTGTATTTTTGATCAGAAATACAGGCAAGTGTAGCTTCTCAGTCTTGTGTGGTGACAATCAGAGGTCTGCGATCATACCTGGTTGACAGCTGAGGGATTTCTGAAAATTAAATCCTTGAAACTGTTCCAGCCGTATTTCCTCATGTCCTTTCACTTGCTTGTTACATCTGTGTGTAAGAAATTCAAATGTCTAAGGTAGGTCTGTTCAAAAGTCCCCACCCTCTTTCAACAGACAAGGAAGTGATGTTTTCCAGCCAATCACCTGCTCAGACCCCCCCACAACATCACTGCCCTGGCTGTGTGCGTATACTTCATCTTCTGAAATTCTGACTTAATGCATATCAGTGAAGGAAGTTTCCCTCTTGAGAACATTAGCAACACCTACACCCACTTAATTTGATAGAGCTGCTAAATGTTGTCAGGACCTCTGACCTGTAAACAGGCTACTGGACTCATGTCCGCCCTACAATGTCATACTGCTGTACGTGACTCCCTACCACAGCTTCTTGCGGGAGTGAAAAAACATGATATTGTACATTTTGTGTTGCTAAAGATACAAAGCAGTGGTGCTGTGATTGCCATTCATCACCCAGAATTGCAACACAGTGACTGCTGTGGTGTGTGTGTGTGTGAGTGACTCAGGTGAGTGACTCTGCTCTACTCCCTGATGCCGCCACAGTGACCAGTGATTGGTAGAGCTCACTTTGGTCAATGACATCAACACATAATGAGTATACTATTAGCATGTGTGCGTCTGTGTCACCTGTAATCACAGGCTGATGATGAGACCACAACTCTGTGAGATGACACGGCCTGTGACACAGAGAGAAACATGGAAGAAGTCATGCTTCACCCATGAATCAACAGATTATTACAGCACCAATGGTAATAGTTTTTAAAAAATATTTTTTATGAGTTATTTACATGTGTATTCTCTCTAAAATAAGTGTTTGAAATGGTTTGTCATCAGTGCTTATGAATGGGATTTCTTTTTCCACTAACGTGGTTGTCTTCCTCTACTTGGCAATACATTGCTCTGCAGTGATAAGAGAGTACTTACATTTTAGTCCACAGCTTTTTATATAAATACATAAACAGACATTTTTGAAAATATATATAAAAAATATAAGTTATATAAGAACAAGGCTGCTGTCTCAGCCCCAAACTCTTCACCCTGTACACCCACGACTGTGTCTCCAACCATGACAACACTGTCATCATTAAATATGCTGATGACACCACCATCCTGGGCCTCATCAAGTGGGGAGACGAGTTGGGTTACAGAAGCTTGGTGAGCAACATTCTTGTTTATGGAGAGGAGAATGACCTCATCCTCAACATAAACAATACAAAAGAAATAATAATAGACTTCTGTCAGGGCCGCTCGGTGGCCGCTGCCTCTCCTCCGTTTTGTTTCTTTGTTTTCTCCGTCACATGGGCTCTGCACCTCAGCTGTGTTGCATTCCAGTAATTAGTAACTGGTTTGTCTACGCACACAGCTGGGGTGCATCCCGATGATTACCTTCTCCTTATATAAACCTCTGGCAGACGCTCCGTGCTCGCCGGAACATTAACTAAGATTATCTATGGAACATTACCTAACTAACAATAACTAACATTAACTAACATTAACATAGTAACGCGGACACATGTGGTGAGACTGCTACGCTGACAGATACTGTGCGTTTTTTGGCTTGATTCTTCCACACACCCTACGCGCTACGCTCTTCACACTACACCACACCACATATTTTTGATCCGTCTTTGCCAGAGCATTACCTAACTTACTTTACAGTACTTACCTGAATTACGTCCTTTTGATTTCCCGGCTGACAGTCCCTGTGCCGTGGATCTCATTTTG